TAGCCGGCGCCGGTGGTGTAATGGTAAGCATGACTGCTTTCTCACTCCAATGGGTCTGGGTTCAATCCCAACCGAGGTCGGTGGGATTTTTCTGAGGCATAAAAATCACTGGTCACGTCTTCGGAATGGAAGTAAAGCCGTTGTTCCCGGCCCATGTGTGTAATGGGTAAGATATCTTACGCAGCTGCCTTCCTGCACATCAATGGATGGCAATCGATGTCCGTCACTTGTTTGCGGAGCAGAGACCGACGTTAAATAAAGGAATGAAGACAAAAGATTGAAGGGACCAAAGGTCGAAGGGAAAAAAGGTCGAATCATAAAAAAGAACAAACGGTCAAAGGGACAAAAGATCGATTAATGAAAAAAAAAAACAATAGGACAAATGGTCAAAATGACAAAGGTCGAAGAAACAATAATACATGATTGAATATAAATATTAAAATTTAAGTTATTGGTTTCTATCTCTCATACAACTACTAATGTTAACAAAAAGGTGACACATGATTAAACAGACCTTTGAATATTTTAAAAAACTGCTCATGTTTGAAAGATGGAGTTAACTCTTTAAAAGCACAATGGATTTTGAGCATTATCAGTAGATTTGTTAATCTGATTTTATCTATCAAAAAACTGCTCATGTTTGAAAGAAGCAGTCAACTCCAAAAAAGAGAAACATATTTCAACGGAAGGAAAATAATGAAATTGCAAAAAAAAAATTACAATTGAGCACTAAACAAGTACAGGATGTCACTCAAAACTAGGTTTTCTTCCCATGAGAGATCTGAACAACCAATCAAATTGTATTGCTTAATTAGATATCCCTATGGGAAGAAATATGGTTCAAAAGTTAGGAAAAAAACCGTTCTTGAAAAAATAGTGTGAACCACCCTAACATGAAAATGGTCACCCTAATGACAAAATTAAGAAAAAAGTCTAATATTTTGTGAAAAAGAACCTCCCTGGGGGCCTCCCTGGGGCCTCCCTTAACTCAGTCGGTAAAGGCGCAGCTACGAAGTAAGGCCATGCTGGAGGTGGCTGGCGATTCCCGGTTCGGTCTAGGAATTTTTCGGGTTGGAAAATTTCTCGACTTCCCTGGGCATAGAGTAGCATTGTACTTGCCACACAATTATACTAATGCAAAAATGGCACAGACATCGAAAGCTCTCAATTAATAACTGTGGAACTGCTATAGAACACTGATTTGAGAGCACGCAATAAGCTAATATGCGAGAAGCAATAGCCCAGGTAACAATGTGATGCTTAACAAGTGTTGTTTCATCAATTTCAATTCAGCCTGGTTATTTTAATCTGCCAAAAACTTAACATTAACATAATTTATAAGATTTTTAAGGCTTTCAATAACCGTCTTTTGCAACCCTTCTTCAGCCTTCTAGTTTTGTTTCAAAAAATTAATGAAAGACCATCTCATATCTAATATTTTTTATGACACTGCTTTATTTTGTTGCTGACTAATTGGATTTACGTATTTATATTGATATTATAAGTCTAAAAATTAACTTTGCGTTTCGGGATTCGAACCAGCAGTTGCTGATTCTCAAGCGTCAATCATACCTACTAGACCACTTAGGCATATGTGGGGCAAAAGGTATGATCATTATCTTGAATCACATCAAATTTAAGTTGAATAATAGCAACTGGAAGAGAATTATACAGCAATGTAGAATTGTAATCAACAAATGGTGACAGTAAAACATTACTCTCATTTTCAAGTGCAGGTAACACAATGTGGACAAAAGTGCGCGATTTATGTTGATGGTCATTTGGAGGCCATAATTGAGTTATATATTTGGAATGTGGTCTGAAAGTTCAGTGCAATATTGAGGGGCGAGCAGTCAAAACACAGGAATACAGATATTAATACTTCAGACGTCGTCGCAGCCCACTTCCACCTGGAGCCATTTCTAAAAAACTCTTCTTCATTGTCTCTAGTACTGGCGCTGCTTGGTATTAGTAAGATAGGTAGTGAATTTAGAAGAACTAAAATGCCGGAAATCTTATATCAGGCTATCAAAATATTTGTAGCGTATTGCTGATTTGTGGAATAGTGTTAAGCTTGAATGAGTCTTGTTTAATCTTCAGATCAGCTAACATAATGAGGTTGAATTATGGGATACAATTCGCTTTACGCACTACTAATCAGCTATATATTCAGCGTGGTGCATATCAGCTTTGTACACCTTAAATCAACCAAAAATCAACTTCTGTTCTTACAGTTCTGCTTGAAATGCGAAGAAACAGAAATAAGAAGAATAAAAAACAAAACTACAAATTTTTACGGTGTTCTGAGAGCAACTATATCGTTTTTCCATGGAATGGCTGTATATCTATCTTCTATAAAACCCCATAGAATGTTATCTCGATCGAAACTTTGGTTTCGGAGATATGACCAAAATAGTTAATTTTTTAAATATCACATAAATACTCACTCACCTTTCTCGGCGATGACTGAACCAATTTGAGTGCAACCAGTTCAACGCAATTGAATGCCATCTTGATCGAAAGTTTGGTTTCGTGAATTTTTGTAATAAAACAGTAATACTTACTCAGTTTTCTCGGCTTTCTTGTTTCTTTTTCGCAAAATTGCTTGTTTCTTTTTCGCAAAAAAAAAAAACTTTATTGATTTTCATGACGATTGGACATTTGGTTCTGACGATAAAACAAAAAAAAAAATGGTTTTGTGATTAAACGGTTATACTAACTGATTTTTCTCGGAGATTGCTGAGTGCAATCAGATATATTTTTTTCTATCATTAACCCTATTAAATTTCATCCAGGTCGAACATTCGGTTCCTAAGATTCACATATTCTTATTGCTCCACCTATCGTTTTCTAGTACCATTTTTGGGAAATATTAAATAGCTGTATTACAGATTCTGGTAGCTATTGTATGGGGCACCTGGCATGTGCGTGAGTGTTGAGTAAGTGGAGTAGAATTTTTAGTGAGTGGATTGAGGTTTAGGTTGTGTGAAATCAACTCAAAAATAGGATCATTGTTTACTTGTAATCTTGAAGAATGTTCAGGGTCAGTCACAGATATTTTCAGAAACGTCCAGACTTACACGAAAACTTTAATATATCTGCGAAAGTTAGTTGACAGATAATTTAAAGATTTTTAAAATATATTATTTTTAGGTAAGTACCTGGATCTTCAGGAGGGTTGTGATAACTTTAGGGTAGATTTAAGAAAATCAGGGAACATCATAGAACCTCAGAAGGCAGTTCAATACACTACAAGAAAATTGCAAGAACTTTAGAGAAGTTCCTAAAAACTCAGATCTCATATGCTTAATGATGTTCAAGCAGTTCAATTTGGTTCGAGGATATTCCGAGTATTTCAAGGAAGAGACGATAACTTCACAGCAGTTTCATTAATTAATTGCGGGAATCTTCAAGAAGTTGCAAGGAATTAGGAATGTTCCAACAAATTTTGGAATTTTCGAGGGGGGCGAAACATGTAAATCTCACACTAGCGAATGAATCTTCGAAAAATCTTCTTTTATTTCTCGCGTCTACTTGCATCACGTATCATTTTTGCAGAAATCTTCAGAATCGTCAACAATCTTCTTTCTTACTATTTAGCGCAGCTAACCACAGCAAAATACAATCTTTCCTGCATTGTAGATAGAGTCGTCCCCTCGGAAATTATGCAGGGTATTCAGGGAAGCTCCATGAATATCATGAAAATTGTTAAAACGATATAAATATTTTTTTATGAATATCTTTAAAATTAAGGGAACGTTAGACAAAATCCAAGAACATCTTGACAATTTAGAGATCTTCAGAAAAGTTTGGTGAGTTTAAAGGAAGTTCCAATCGCTTCAAGGAAGTATCGAAGGATTCACGAAAATTGCGGGAGCTTTAGATTAAACAACTTCAAAGCTGTTCAATTTTTTTCTTGATTTGTTTTCCGTAGATCTTGTTTTCCATGTAGAGCACCAATGCTACCGACGCCAGGGAGGCAGCTCCTACACCTGGATCCTACCTATCGACCCATTAACTGATGAACCGGGGACCAACGGCTTTACTTCCTTTCCGAAGGATGTTATGCCTCAGAACATCCTGGCGGCGCCGACTGAGATTGATCTTAATTAGGGGTAATTTCGCTACTGCTCGTATTCTTATTTTATAATAATATATTAAAAGGAAATTGGGTTGGAATCCACTTGAAAATTTATTTGGAATCCACTTGAAAATTTATCTGGAATCCACTTGAAATCGTAAAATGTGCGATGGGTCAGTAATGTTTTCCTCGATTTTCCTCAAAAATCTGCTAGAATATTAGAAAAATCGTGAATAAATTTACTCACTACCTTTCGACTTTTTACAATTTTGAGTGAAATCTGGCTCAATTTTGAGTTGATCTCATCGGACTAGAGAAGTGTTGCGGCTACACTGAAAGCACATATGGACTTCCACATGTGCAGTAAATTAAAACTCAGCCTTCGACAGTGAACCTAACTTTTCACTCCCTCCATTGTTCAATGAAAATTCTTTTTTTTTTCTTTTCGGAGACCCATGCAGCTCATCACTTCGTAACAAGCAACCCTTTTGTTTACAGCTAAACCGCAAGATTGTGCGACCTACTCCGTTGGGTTACAGCCGCTAGTGCATGCAACCCTGACCTTAATATGCATTGCATGGTTTTGAACCTTACAGTAACTCAATTCCTCCCCTATTCCTATCGGCATCTTCGGGTGTTCATCGCACTCGACCACAACCAGAAACGTGGCGCGTGCGCCATGGATGCTGTGAGTTCGACGTCGCCGTCGTGTCGGAGTTGGACATGGCCAAAGCACCGAAAGAAGCCGCCAGCAGCAGCCAGATGATTGCACTTGACTTCGCGGTCGCATGATGCAAGCCAATAGCACCCGAATGCCTAAATGCCGATACATACTTCGGGATGTATGAGTCCTGCTGCTGCTAGCGCTAGCTTCTGAATAACAACGATTAGTCAGTCTCTCGGAGTTAGCCGTCGGGATCGGGTATGTTTTTAGGAAGGTCCTAGCGAGTTGAGTATTCGTACGCGATTCGGTTCCGTGATTAAGTGCATCCTCAGCAAGCAGTGCGAAAGTGTTTTTCCTCGTTGGCGTTGGTGATTGACATACGGACAGAAGCCTGGGAGAGGAACCTGTCGCGCGTTGTTGGTACCGAAGTCTGTAGGATGCATTTGCACAATTGATAGTTTGCCCGTGTTTTCCGTGGGACGATCAGGCCCAAATAGGAGTGCAGCATCACAACGCGTAGGATTTACCAACGAGTGCTGTGAAAGTTTTCCCCATTTTGTTATTGTTTTTGGCGGAGGGACTGGTGCTATTTGGGTGATGCTGCTGGTGATGACGATGCGATGACGGTTATCCTGCTGAGTGGAATGATTTTCTGTTAGTGCACTGGAGTTCGGAACGTGGCGAAGAGGTTGCAATTTCTGAAGAAGACGAAGCACGGGATCGGTGAAAGCATTGCGGATGTGGATGATGACGATGGTGATGCTTTTTTCGGGGGAAATAGCCATGATGATTATGATGCTGTAGTAGTGAGAAGCACAGAACTTCGGCCCCCCAAACGAAGCTAGCGGATGCGAAAAAGGTGTTTTATGAGTGTTTATGTGTAGTGTGCTTCGAGCAGCACCGGAATAGTGCATTTCGACGGTATTGTTTTTGTTTTGGTGAAACTTTCGGTGCAACTTTGTCGGAAAGGATTGAATGGAGGCCTGCAATCAATTCGGAGTCTGTGTGCTTGACAACATTGTGCTTTAAATTGGAAGTTGTTAGGTTGAAGTTGATGGTGAGATATTTAAACATTAACTATAAATTAGTGCCGTCGTTTTATAAAATTTAAACGTCAAATTACCACAAAATGGTTGTTCTTTTTCTTGAAGATAATTTTAATTTATAAATATTAGATGTTAAGATTTCGCTGCCGATGAATTAAAAATAAACAAACCCTTCAGTAAATAAGTATAGCTATGGCATCTTACTTTCGCTTCAAGTATATGATTCGATATTCGCTGGTAAACATCGCCTGTCAAGGAACAAATTGGTCTGGAATTCCATTGTATTCAAGTGCTTACTGTTTAGTACACGTACGTTGGAGGCTTAAAGGATAAAACTATCCAATGCCGGTGATATGATGAATTATGCGTGATAAGCTCAGGACATCCAGGTCGTAATCAAAAGTGTGCAGATTACCTACTGAATCGATAATAAAGAAAACAAAATTAAACACCCACCCGAATGATTCGCTTACAGTTTTGAATAAAAAATAAACCGAATCTATTAGCAATTAAGACATGAACAGTTTCTGCATTGTGTTCGTAGGAAGACTTTTCAAATAAATGCTGGTTCACATTAATATTCGAGAGCACGTTGTACTAAGACGAGTAAATATAGCGGTGCCGGTGGCGACTGCCCCTCACTCCAAAGGGCCTGAGTTCAATTCCAGTCGGCACCGTCGGGATTTTCTAAAGCATAAAATCTTTGATCACGTCAGGGAAGTAAAACTGTTCAACCCCGGTCCATGAGTTGATGGGTCGATAGGTAGGTTCCAGGTGTGGGAGCTGCCTTCCTGGCGTCTGTAGCATTGGTACTCAGTACAGAAAACAAGATCGAAAAATCAAGGAAAAAAAAAGATAAGTCTATCGTTTTTTTGCAAACCCAGTGTAAGATCGGATCAAAACCAAGGTTCCAGCTAGTCTGGTTACATGGACCTGATTACCTCTACGCAGAACAGTATTATGTTGTAATGACGGATCCTGGATGATCCTGGATTAGCATTTGTACCAAAATTCGCAATTCGTAGAGTGCTTTAATTGACCACTTTGTCAAGCAGTTTTGGCTTGACTTTCTACCAGCGATTTCACAAAACTGGACCAACTAATTTCTATTTTTTTTATGAAACACACAAATGTTGGTTACTTTTCTCGAGGTTCTAGAAGAAAAAATCTCAAAATAATGTTTTATTTAAAAGTTCGAGTGGTAGTAAATGTCATTTTAACTACTCGAATGAAGTGGTTAATTGTAAACAGAGAATACAAGTGAAAGATAGAATACATGAACTTCCGTGGAATAGCTTTCGAATAACGGTTTTCCCGAAAGGTAGATATGCTAGCAGCTCTAGTTTGCTATACGACTGGGGCACAAATGGTGAAATTTTCCGTAATGCGGTGTACAGCACAACGAACTGGCTTTCCTTTTCATGGAATTGATATGTGCTAACTAAAGGCGGGAGTAGCCGTCAACAATGCTGATGATGGTACAGCACCCAACAACCACCTTACTGCTTTCTCTCTGAGATGACTACATTGGTCATGACGAGAGGAGCAACACAATAGTTGGGTAAAGAAGAACTGCATTATAACACACCATCGACTGGGAATGCTTTCGGTAACGTGGTTCTTTAGGTACTGATGAAACGTCGCCGCTAGAACTTTTCCACAGCCGCAGACAGTATATGAGCAAAGTCAAACGCACACTTTTTTGCCTGTAGATTTGAAGATGTACTTCAAATCCCCGCGTACATCGTATGGGTTAGGCAAAGAAGTGAGTGTTGACTTTAACGGAATTAGCTATTGCCTACCTAACGGCTAAATTTTGATAGATTTCAAAATTAAATTGTAGATCTAAAAACATAATTTGTCAATCAATTTGTCTTGAGTCCCAACAGGTTTTTGAACCCGTCTAGAAAATTGTGGATCATGAAATGGTTCCGGAGTTATTCCGGTTTCCGTTGGGATCACTCTGTTTCGCCATTTTTCTTGACTGTTATAGTTGTAAATACGGTAAACATGAAGTTTTCTCACCCAAATGATATAATTGAACCAACCGTGACTATATCTATGGCCACATTGGCCCTCCCAGGAATGTTCCAGTGCCCTCGGGGAAGTGACCAAGTCTCGACAAGAGTCAAAACTCGTTGTGACATATCAAACTTTATGAATTTTCTTTACTCGTCCTGTAAAGCCCTTATTTGGAGTCAACGGTAACATTGGTCCTCTCGAGGATTTTTCGGTGCCCCAGGGAAGTGTCTTATTCTCGAAAAGAACCGAAACCTGCCATGCAACATTTCAAACTTCATGATATCTCGAAACTCGGCCAGTCAATGTCTTACTGAGAGTTTGTGGTCATATTGATCCTCCCGGGAATGTTCTGGTATTTTCGAGGAAGTAGCCAATTCTCGACAAAAGCCAAACCTGTCGTGCAACATATCGAACTTTATGATCAAACAAAACATCGCCATTACTGTCCTTATTGAAAGCCCACGCTCATATTGGCCATTCCGAACATATTCTGGTGCCCCCGGAAAAGTTACCAATTCCCAAAAAGTACCAAAACCTGCCATGCGACTTATCAAACTTTATGATTTTTTTCAAAAGCTCGGCCTTATTGACGGCCTTATTGAGAGTCAGTAGCCTCATTGTCCCTCCCAGAAATGTTCTGTAGCCCGCAGGAAAAAGACCAATTCTCGACAAAAGCCACATATGACATAAGTCATATCATGATTTTTCCAAACTTGGCCAGCTAAGGCCTTATTAAGAGCTTGCGGTGAAATTGTCCTTCCCGAGCATATTTCGACACCCCCGAGGAAGTGACCAATTCTCGAAAAGAACCAAAACCTGCCATGTGACATATCAAACTTCATGATTTTTCAAAACTCGGTCAGTAAAGGCTTTAATGTTTGTTTTGGCTGGACGCAATCTGGAGCTTATGAAACTCATTTATGTTTTCTTGAAGAATATTAACCTTAGATTGTAAGTTTGATTAACCTTGTGTTTAGTTAGTATTTTGTGTGTGTGGATTTTTTTCCATGTTTGTTTTGTAATAATAGAAGAATTACACTGCTGATGTCAAGTTGAAAAGGAATAAGTTCATGTTTTAGAAATAATGAAATATTTGTATCAATTCAAACCTCGTTATCTCTTTCCCCATCCATGAAACTGTAAATCTTCACTTACCTTGAGACGACCGCGAGTACTCGTTACAATTCTTTTAACTTTAGGTTTTACTCAAGATTTAAGACATTAACAATATAAAGGGTAAATGACGGCTTCGGCAATACCTTATTCTATTATCGTCAGGGGGTAAACAACATCCTTGTTAGCTCAATTTTGGCATGTGAATACATTGTGTATTCAAGCATCTATTGGTCAAATTTGAGTGCTCTAGGACTTTGTATAACCCCCTGGCGATAATAGGTTAAGGTATTGCCGAAGCCGACATTTCCCCTAACACAAATGGAAGTTTGGCTCTGTAAAGTTTATTCGATAATTCCCAAAAAAAAAGGCTTTCATGAGATTCTGCAGCCACATGCGCACTCCCAGACAAGTTCCGCGGAAGTGGCCAATGCTCGAAAAGATCTAAAACCTGCCATGCGGCATATCATACTTCATATTTTTACTAAGCTCGACCAGTGGAGGTCTTATTGACACTCCATGATCATATTGGCGAATTTAGGCATGTTCCGGGACCCTGGGGGAAATTGCCAATTCTCGGCAAGAACAAAAATCTATCGTGCGACATATCAAACTGCATGATTTTGCAAAATTCAAGCAGTAAAGCTCTCATGGAGAGTTCACGGTCCCAGGTATGTTCCAGTGTCCTCGAAGAAGTGGCTAATTCTTGACAATATCTAAAATCCTGGAATAGCCTATGGGACCGTGAACACTCAATAAGTCATCTACTACGTGAGTTATGTAAAGTCATAAAGATGTTGTATATGGTCATCGACAAATTATTCTAAGTGGTAGGTGGCGAGGGGAGTCTCAAAATTTATTACAATTTCTTACAATAGGGGAAGAGGGGGATTGAAATTTTCTTACATAAGAAGTGAACAAACATTAAATGAGCATATAAAGTTGGTCAAATACAGTCAACTCTCCATAACACTCATTATTTCAGGGACCATCAAGCTGTAGGATTATCGACTGATAATATAAATAACAGTGAATTCGTACATAATTTTAGGAATAATTCTATTATTCCATCTAATGTAATTTCTGACCTTATTGGCCTATATAGAATCAAAAAATAATTCATGAATCCATTTACGGAAACTCTGAGTAGTTGATTAATAAATAGCCATTCTATAGCAAAATGATATAGTGGTTCTCAGAGTTTCGTAAAAATTGTAGTTTTGTTCATTATTGCAAAATATTACGGTGACCATTTCCTTGTTAGAGTGATCCAAAAATCGATTTTTTTTTTCAATGACCTCTTGGACAGCGTTTCCAAATGAAACTGCCGATGGTTGAAGTCAAACGTGCGATTGCTTGGTTTGGGATATACTGTTGCACCGATTCTAGGGTCCGTTCATAAACCACGTAGACCAAAATTTTATACGTTTTAACCCTCGTAGACTTCAGTAGACTTTTCTTAAAACCCTCCCCCTCCCCTGTTCAGTCTCGTAGACTTTTGTAATTGTTGTATAGTCTCAGATTATATTGTATTCATAATAAAATTAAACTTTTGCAGAACACATATTTTATGAAAGGAAATTAATATTATTTGCTTTAGATATGAAATAAACAATTGTTTTTCGTGCAGGAATCGAAAAATGTAGAACATTGATCATCTATGCCGAGATTTGTATTTGTAGCTTATGAGAAATCAGATATTTCGGAATTCAAATTCAAGCCCGAATTTAAGCAACGTAGGCTGTGAAAATAACTAACTCCCCCTCATAAGCTGGCGAAGACTTTTCATAACCTCCATTCCCGTAAAAAGTCTACGTGGTTTATGAACGGCTCCTAACAACCAGCTGAAATGGAAAAGAAACTCAATTTAATTTTC